CCATTGAAAAGCCATAATGTACGGATTGGTTCAGCCAAAGTCAGGAGTTATCGATATATATTTAAGGGCTTAGTTTGTTTAAACTTACGGAACGGCTCTCATGTCATGGTTTGTATCGAAGCTGACAGTTGAGACATTGACCAAAAAACATTTGGTAACCAGACTTGTTGTCAGACTTAGTGCAGTGTTCGATGTTAGTGAGGCGAGAATTTTATATCATTTCTGACTGGTTTCGCTGTGGAAAAGGGCGTGATTTCACTCGAAAATTATCAGTATAAATGTGCAGTAGTGGAATTTGTACTTCAGTTTACACTTTTCTGCAAAAATAACGAACATAAGAACTTAGAGAACTCTGAAAATATAATAAGTAAATTTCTCATAAAATCATTCAAAGGGGCAAACGACTGTCTGGAGAACTGACAGACCAAAAAAAACCCCTCGGAAACACAAAGTATTTTCATAATCTCATGTAATTACTTGATACTGCAATGATGATTTGTTGATATCTGTATGTACTTGCAGGGATTTATTTATTGAGTCGGCGATCACTTTACATGATATAGTATGCTTGTTTTGAGTTTTTTTGAGTCCGCATATATGTACATGGACGGCTAGCTAAGTTATAGTATCGATTATTGTAGGGAATTGTGTGTTCTGAATTTATGCTTATTCTACATAGGAAATTATGATTTTAGTATAACTGTGTTAAATTCATTTATCTGAACTCGTACAATAATATTATTTATTTATATACATTGACGAATGTTTGGAATGTAGATATTACGGGAAGCCGTAGAAATTATTTGAACGAGTTTATTTGTTTTTTGTAACACTAACGTATGGTAAGGAATTTTATTCATTCCTGTTTAGTGAGACTCTTAAGAAATTAATGTCTCCGTGTGGTGTCAGTGACAATTAGCAAACCATTAGTCTGTGGAACTAGGTTGTCTGTTTTGTTATGACCTATTAGTCTAGATAGCCATCGACGACTGGTTGAATCCGATAGAATTATATCTGACCTCCAGGGTTGAGACTAATGATTTATTCCCGTATAATGTGACTTAATAATAATAATGCTAATACTAATAATAATACTAATACTACTACTACTACTACTACTACTACTAATAATAATAATAATAATAATAATAATAAAAATTAATAATAATAATAATAATAATAATAATAATAATAATAATAATAATAATAATAATAATAATAATAGATAGATAGATAGATAGATAGATAGATAGATAGATAGATAGATAGATAGATAGATAGATAGATAGATAGATTATTCGGTGTCTTGTCAAGTGCAAATGTTCTCTTTAATTACTAATGATTATCATTTTCTTTAGAGATAATTTCTCATTGAACTGTCACAGTAAGCAACAAACAAAAGTATATATTCTGATGAATCCGTCTCAACTTCCAAATTAATATGCACATGTCGAATTTAGTTAAATAAAAAAGCACAATCTTGTATCGTCAACGTGCGCGTGTCCACCTGAAGTATTCACTTGGACAATTAATTTCTCTGAAATAAATAGGTGCAAGTCTGTATGTAATAATACTCTTGTTGTCAACTTGTAGTGTACCTGGACATCAATGTATACGAAACAAATAAGCGCAAGCATGGAATGCAGCATGCCCGTGACCAACTGAAGTGTTCTTGAACAATAACTTTAATGAAACAAAAAGGTACAAGTTGGTATATAACCATACTCATATCAAATTATAGTGCACCGGGACATTAATTTCTTTCAATCAAGAAAGCACAAGAGTGCATTGCCATCATGCTCGTGTCCATCCGTGCTGTCCTTGGATAGAAGCCGGCATGGCAAACATGCTCGTGTCTTAAATATGTACATTCTTTTCCTATACTCAGTTGTATATTTACAAAATCATGATGCATTTAAAACAGTGCTCTGTTTTCAACTAGTGACAAAATTGCTATCTGATAGATTTAAGTACACAACCATTACGATGTCTGTGTAGGTTCAATGCGCATGTGTGTGGTAGTTACCTATGAGTAATCTTCTTTCACATTAAGCATGCAAGCATCTCTTCATAGCCGCAACGACCTTGATGGTTTTATTTGAAACATACAGATATAAGCTTAAATGATGTAACAATGTTAAGGAGTAACACAATTCGACAACCAATATCTTAAGATCGGACTAATTAAATTTAAACAGAAACAACCAATAAGGCCAGAACGTAGTTTAGGGCCTTAACGAATGTAGCCTGGATAGTTTCATTGTCATGTACAACAGACATATCATTTCCATTGGGCATCCAGTACAGGAGGCCAGTGAGACAGAATATCCCCTCATGATTTACTTCATTACATAGTCTTAAGTTGGCCAGAATCATCAAACGAAATCTATCGACATTTATTATCCATGTAGCTTATGTCGACAACGATTGCTCGCCAAGCAGTAGATACCATGCTGATGGTACATGAAACATTTATATTGTCAGTTCCTGCACATTTATATTAAAGCAATTTAAATGTCTGTGCACATGCTGCAGTACACGTGTCTAGTATTTGAAACACCCACATGGAGAAAAAAAGAACATTATCTTCATCCGATTCAATTTAGCTTACTGCATAAATTGATGTAATAGGAATTAATCAGACTTATTTTCCGGTAGTTAAAGACGGCTAGGTTTTGGATGCAAAGTCTCGCTGTTATCCTATAGCTCTCTTACTGTCTATTTTAGAGGCACTCGTTTCTTTGCTTCATTAGAGAATAATATTCCTCCGTTGACATCTCCTAAATATGTGTAGTACAACTTTTTCTAAATGTTGGATAATATTGGTTACATACAGGGTGCCCCTCCACGTAATTTGTGCGATCATGCACAGGTAACCATGCAAATATGTAAATCAAATAACAAAGCATGGCTTTCTAGTGAAATAAGCAGCATTTGGACCCAAAATTCAATGGATGTGTTTCCCATTACACACATCATCGCTGGATAACATGCATACAAAAAAGCCGCCTTGTCGTTAATGCAGAAGCCTAAGCAATTATTTAAGAGGTTTTGTTATTTCATTACCATAATCCATAAGAACTTTATAATTTGAGCCAATATTCAGTTTAACGGCATTTATATTCTAAGAAGAATTAACAATCTTATAGGCAGGAATACGAATACACGATACAATGTTTTCATTATGTATGTTACTTTTTTTGCTATGTAATACACGTAAGTAAACTTTAGACGACGGTAATATAAAATTGCAAGAAATAGTTTGTACGTACTTGTGCATAATGGCGCCTGTATGACCTTTGCAAACCTCTTTGAGATTTCGCATGATGGCGCCTATATGACATTTGCAAACTTCTTTGAGATTAGGGAAGCCATTGAATGACTGTACAAGATTGTATGCTTCTTATCGAAATTTAAAGTCATTAACACTAAAATTAAAAAAATACACATAACAAGATTTAAAATATCAATAATGATTTTATTCCATGCAAACAGCATGTTTATCTAATATAAGAGAAAGAAGTGTAATTTGACTGTACTTTTAAATGATATTCGCATCTTCAGAGGAGTTATCTACGTCTGTGAATGTATAGAATACATTTTATTATTTAACGTTGGAATTTAATTTTAAGTATAATATACTGAAAGCTTATAAAGCATTCAAAGTAGCAAAAGTAAATAGTTAATCAATACTTTCTGTTTGTGTTTAAAAATCTTTATCTTGTATATAAAATCCAACATTTGTCATTCTTTGTGTGTAATGCTTGCCAACAAAACGTTGCGAGTTCGAAACTCAATGCAGCCTAAAATTTGTTTGTATGCTTTTTTATATTTTTACTTTCAAACTTTCATTTCAATTAGCTCATCCCAATTCTTTTTTTTTTAAAGGATTTTTATTATTATCATTATTTATATATTTTCATTTTCAATTTTAACCAAGAATACGTTATATCACGTTTACAGCACGTGACTTCCTCTATGAACGAAGTGAGACGTTTTACCATCGTGGCAATATTTTCCCGGTTCGGTCAAGTAGGCCTAAAATCCAGTTTAAAATAATGTGTGTGTATGTGTGTGTGTGTATGTGTGTGTGTGTGTTTGTTACCATACGTGTATTAAGTGACAACCAATTGACCTTTGATCTTTCAAGAGAAGTTGCCATTCATAACGTGCCCTTAACGAAGATAGTTTGTGACCAGAATGCTTACCAAGTAATTCTAAAGCTTCCAGTGTGTTTGTTGTTGTTGTGTTTTGTTTTTTTTTTTTTTTTATAAAAGCAACATATTTATTAAATATGCATATGAAAGGATTGGAACTGGTATTGCATCATTTGAATACTTTTCAAACATGGACAGTGACTTTTTTATTTTGCTAGAAGGAACTTAGATCACTCAAGTCAGTGGTAGTCTTTTTATTACATTAATCCTTGTCTGACTTTATAATTTAATCTTGTAGCTTTTGTCCCTTTTGAAGGTCTGTATTTGTTTTTGTCAGTCTGAAAAAGTGCCGGTTACATTTTTTTCACAACACAACCACACATATAAAAATTTCAAACATGTTGTCTAAGCAGCATAAGTCAAAAGAAGCAAAGTTTAAGATTTCGAACAATGTTTGTACGGCTTCTACGCCAGTAACTGATGCCGAATTTGATATAAGGTATTTAATATCGGAACACTACCTTGGTTTCCTGAGTGCTTCATCGTGTCACTGGTGACTTCCACATGCAGACATTGTCGGCTAGCGTTAAATGACTTCAATCTATTAACATTTTCCCTTGAATAAAGTATTACGAGAGGGTCATCTATGGACGACATAAAACATAAGTAGATAAATAAACTGTTTTTGCTAGACATTATTTGACTGCATCTAAGACGTGAAAATGATTATTCTTGTGTGGACGGTGTATACAACTAATCTTCACCGAAATCAAAGATGGAAAGCGCAAAATGGTGTATCTAATAATATCGAGTATTTCCAGCCATGTCATGTCTTTTATATGAGACCGCTCCGGTGGCCTAGTGGTAATAGCGTCCGCCTCGGATGCGGAAGGTCATGGGTTCGATCCCCGGTCGAGTCATACCAAAGACTTACAAAAATGCTACTAACAGCTTCCTCGCTTGGCGCTCAACATTGAGAGGTTAGTGTTAGGACTGGTCAGCCTGGTGTCAGGATAATGTGACTGGGTGGGACATCATGTTACATGTCTGCGGCATGATGCCCCCATAGCTAGACATCACTATAAACTGCCACGCTGCAGACATCGTAGCGATATGACTGAAAATTTTTTAAAGCTACGTTAAAATCATAATCACATCACATCTTTTATATGAAACCTATACAAAGTGAATTGTAAATACTTAGATGGCTGCATTTCAAATGTAACCAAATATTAGCTTTTAAAAATTAGTCTAAACAGTCTGCATGTCTCTCTGAATAACATTTAATTACGTTAATTAATAACATGGTTTTTCGATATACTATTGGTGTCTCTTTATTTACAGCGTAAAAGCCCCTTGTAGCTAAAATACGTGTCGCTTTTTCTGCTAATTTCAGATGTTCAGAGAAAAGTTGTGAGGTACATCTCTATATTGGATAAGTGTAGGTATTCTCACTAACATTGTAACCGAGATACGGCATAATGTAGTCCTATGGGTGTTTGGGTGGCAGTTACATTGTAACCAAGATACCCAACAGACGGAATAATGTAGCCCTATGGGTGCTCGGTGGCAGTTACATTGTAACCAAGATACTCAAAAGACACAATAATGTAGTCCTACGGGTGCTCGGTGGCAGTTACATTGTAACCAAGATACTCAACAGACACAATAATGTAGTCCTACGGGTGCTCGGTGGCAGTTACATTGTAACCAAGATACCCAACATACGGCATAATGTAGTCCTATGGGTGTTTGGGTGGCAGTTACATTGTAACCAAGATACCCAACAGACGGTATAATGTAGTCCTATGGGTGTTTGGGTGGCAGTTACATTGTAACCAAGATACTCAACAGACACAATAATGTAGCCCTATGGGTGCTCGATAGCAGCTACATTGTAACCAAGATGCTCAACAGACACAATAATGTAGCCCTATGGGTGCTCGATAGCAGCTACATTGTAACCAAGATGCTCAACAGACACAATAATGTAGTCCTATGGCTACTCGGTAGCAGTTACATTATAACCTAGATACCCAACAGATACAATAATCTAGTCTTATGGGTGCTTGGTGGCAGTCACATTGTAACTAAGATACCCAACATGCACAATAATATAGTCCTATGGGTGTTTGGTTGCGGTCACATTGTAACCAAGAAAACCAAAAGACACAAAAATGTAGTCCATAGGTGATCAGTGGCCGTCACATTGTAACCAAGATACCCAACGGAAAGAATATAGTCCCAAGAGACTCAGTTGTGATCATAATATAACCAAATAGACAGTATACTCTAGTCCTAATGGAGCTTCGGAAAGGATCATAATATCTGGAATACCTATATTAATTCTGTAGCTTCTTGCGTAGTTTTGAAGCGACTATGGTTTGTAGTTATTCCCAGGTAAAAGGAACAATCTGATGTTAATTTGTCACCACGTTAGTGACGTTCAACCCAAATATTGTATTTTTCTCCTATGAAGTCTTTAGCATATTTCTAATCAACAAGAACAGATTTCATTCACATTACAACAACTTTGCCGTTTTCAGCCCCAACGTGTGTATTTTGTCAACAAAGTCACTGAGTACCTTTCTCAAATATTCCAAACTGTTATTTAACATCTGCTTATAAACAAGAGACCTTAAACGAAATTGCAATCAGATATTTCTGGAAATTTGTTTAAAGCTATTTCAGACGTGGCCTGTGCAAAAAAAATGACTATCAAGCATTTGATATCTGACCCCAGTCTCCGTTAGTTGAACACGTAAACGTGTTGCAAGTGACACGTACATGCCGATATTGTCACAAACCTTTAATTAAATTCGCTATGTTACAATTTTCCCCTTAACAATGCAGTTAGTAATCCTTTCCAAACAAAGGGATTTGTCACTTAACGTACTGTAATATAAATACATACATGTACATTGAAAAGGAAATGACTTGGGATAGACGCTAAAAGATCGGCCCAAGCTGTTGTAATTATTTTGCCGTGCTTTTGTACACGGACCTTCTTCATTCAACTGTAAGGCTACAATCATATCTGCAATCTTAACTTACAGGTAACACGGCATCTCAGGTCATTTAATATTAATACATGCCTGAAAATTAATTTAACATCTGATCAAAATTATCACCTTTAGAAAAATATAATGAAAGCAAGTGCAGCCTATATTTATCAATGAGCAAAAGCACACAAAAACCCACATAATGGAATAATTTCAATGGTGCCGGCTGATTTGTTGAGGATAAACAAGAACTATGCTTATATTCGGAATATGACTCTTCTCGGAAACTTGCCATGGTTCCATGATGCTACTTCCACATTGACACTGATAATTTAAACTATATTGGTCAGCTTTAACAACAAAACCTGCTTGTAGGCCTATCAACCCATGCTAAATAGATAAAGTTTGCAAATGTGCTCACCTTGCAGAACATGTTATCGAATTCTTTTGAATGGTTTGTTATGTATTCGAATAATAAGCTTCCATGTAAATGTTGCATGCAATAAATATTTTCAACTGAAAAGATTAGTCTACAACATGTAATAAAATATGGGCGGGTCGAGTCATAAAATCCAGGTGTTATGTTTTTGAATATCCGTCTGTATCTGTGCAATTGTATACTTCGCCCATATTAGGTACGAAAATATTTGTTTCATTTAACAACCCCACCCCTATTTTGATTTATTTGCCCTTGATAATTTGTATTCTTTGAAAAAAGGTTTCATACCAGAATATATAATTTGCTGAAACTTGGACATTTTTTCGACTGTAATTGGAATCTGTCTCTGCTTTTAAAAACGCACACCAATTATGTGGACATCAAGGGTGTACCTAAAATATTTGGTACCCGGGTCGGATAATTAGCTTGGTACCCTCATAAATAATTGTAATATGTAAACACTCGGGTAAATATATTTTGTTTGCAAATCGATTTTTAAATAGTACTGTGCTGTCATAAGTATATTGAGGAAAAAAAGTTGCTTAGGAGAAGTGTTCATTTGGTTTAAAAACTTTGCTGTTCAACTCTTCCGATTGACTCCCACCCACCCCGTTTTTATGGCTGTTACCCGGGGTAAACCGCCCACCTCCCCCCTTATTACTCCACTGGTAGACATATATTTTGATTTTAGTTACCTCAGCTCACGATAACCCTTCCATTGTGACATTTTTGTAAGTGATACGAACTTAGAAAGGAAAACTTTTGTTGGTGTGGTCGCCAAAAACAAATCCAGGCCCTGGTTATTAAATATGATTTCTTGAATGAATTTTTGATATGATGTCTGAAAGTTCGAGTGCATAGTGTCCTCTATCAAAATAAAGTGGTACAATTAACAAATAGGACGGTAAGAGCATTCTTTAACTTTGAGGTTATTCTCAAACAAGATGATTGTTGTTGCTATTTTTATTGAGAATTTCTGTTGCTTTTTGTAGTCTTATTTTTTTTCCTCCGCGAATTTTGAATATTTCGCCTTGCATACCAGCATATCATTTAATTTACCCATAATTCTTATTTTCAGTTACAAAATAGAATAAATGACTTACCTGGAACTATTTTCCTTCTTTATATTAGTGAGCAGATAGATTTAATGTTCACGCCATAAACAGGTAGCGTGTATAACACTGTTGAAGTATATATTTGGGGAAACAGAATTAAAATCTGTTGGCTGGGTGATTCACAGCAAGCCTGTCACTTGCATACAACATATACGGTTCACTGATTTCTGATTAGACAAAGCGCTTACAATTTCAACCTGATGTCCTGGATGCTGTGATCCCGATAGCTTTCAGCAAAGATACATTAAATTTAAAACTTTAGCTTTAAATTTAGCTTCTGTGTAAAAAAAAATATATATATGTATAGACGTTCAGTCAGATTAGTAGGAACGTATCGAATAAAAGCTACAAAAGTGGCCTCAAGATTCACATCTGCATTTCGCACTTCCTACCCCCCCCCAGCACGTTGTTGTGAAAAATTATGAATATTAAGAAAATCACCTGTTCCATGAAGAATATTATGTTTATTTTCATATGCTCAGTAAGTTAGTCTGTCGCCGGGGGTAAAATTTGTACTACTGCAAAAACTAAATATAATGACATAAGACTAGCATTGTGGGTTTTATTACGTTGACATAATAGTATGACCTCGGAGAAATATACTCCAGATGTGCAAGTTATAGAAAGAAAAGCGGAGAGAAGATGACGAAATGAAGAACCTTTCACAAAAATTGCAAGGAGTATTATATGCAGAAAAACTTTGTCGGGTTAAAGAAAAGCACAACGTCGTACTGTTTTGTTAAAAAGTTTGTGCTTAAATGAGTCAGCGTTTTTGTTAAACGTTTCGTGCCATTACGACTGAAAATAACGAAACTCAGTCATATAAAAAAGAAGTCAATAGAAACGGATTATGAAGGAACCGTATGTACTCGCGTTTAAGTCGTATCCAACTGCAAACTGAGCACATTCAGATCTGCCGGTATATAATGCGACGACAAACAGCATTTGAAATATACCTCACAATTTTCATCTCAATGTATAATAGGATTGTACACGCAGGAAAAACGATTATGTAAGAAGCGAAATTTGGAACTGACGACTAAGCGAAATGGAATATTCATCAAGTCTAACATACCAATGAAAGAACCTTAGAATCGCAAAAAAGCTACAAATAAATGACATATTCAGAACAGTAACGAAATATTAATTTCCCAAAACATTTTTTCCTAGTTTCTTATATTTCCATAGTTTCCTGCAACATTTTCTCTAGTTTCCTATAATATTTCCCTAGTTTCCTGTAACATGTTCCCTTGTTTCTTATAGCAGTTTTTTGGTGCTATTTCTTTTAAGTTCTCGTGTACAACATTTAAGTTTTTCGGTGTATCCGAATTGCACTCACATTATTTAGATAGGTAGTTATTAAAAACAAGGATCGAAATATTTCGAAAGAGTAAATGTTAAAGGTTTGTACTCCAATGAATGTCCAAAGGGGCTTCAGCCGGCAAGCTGTGCGAAAAGCCAGTGTGACATCTATCCAGTAATTAAAATTAATACAGTTGTGTACATACTGATTTAATACAGTTGTGTTCATAAGGATTTAATACAGTTGTGTTCATAAGGATTTAATACAGTTGTGTTCATAAGGGATGTAATACAGTTGTGTTCATAAGGATTTAATACAGTTGTGTTCATAAGGATTTAATACAGTTATGTTCATAAGGATTTAATACAGTTGTGTTCATAAGGGTTTAATACAGTTGTGTTCATGAAGGATTTAATACAGTTGTGTTCATAAGGGATTTAATACAGTTGTGTTCATAAGGATTTAATACAGTTGTGTTCATGAAGGATTTAATACAGTTGTGTTCATGAAAGATTTAATACAGCTGTGTTCATAAGGGATTTAATACAGTTGTGTTCATAAGGATTTAATACAGTTGTCTTCATAAGGATTTAATACAGTTGTGTTCATAAGGATTTAATACAGTTATGTTCATAAGGATTTAATACAGTTGTGTTCATAAGGATTTAATACAGTTATGTTCATAGGATTTAATACAGTTATGTTCATAAGGATTTAATACAGTTGTGTTTATAAGGATTTAATACAGTTGTGTTCATAAGAGATTTAATACAGTTGTGTTCATAGTGATTTAATACAGATGTGTTCATAAGGATTTAATACAGTTATTTTCATAAGGGATTCAATACAGTTGTGTTCATAAGGATTTAATACAGTTGTGTTCATAAGGATTTAATACAGTTGTGTTCATGAAGGATTTAATACAGTTGTGTTCATAAGGATTTAATACAGTTGTGTTCATAAGGATTTAATACAGTTGTGTTCATAAGGATTTAATACAGTTGTGTTCATAAGGGATTTAATACAGTTGTGTTCATAAGGGATTTAATACAGTTGTGTTCGTAAAGATTTAATACAGTTGTGTTCATAAGGGATTTAATACAATTGTGCTCATAAGGATTTAATACAGTTGTGTTCATGAAGGATTTAATACAGTTGTGTTCATGAGGATTTAATACAGTTGTGTTCATAAGGGATTTAATACAGTTGTGTTCATAAGGATTTAATACAGTTGTGTTCATAAGGGATTTAATACAGTTGTGTTCATAAGGATTTAATACAGTTGTGTTCATGAAGGATTTAATACAGTTATGTTCATAAGGGATTTAATACAGTTGTGTTCATGAAGGACTTAATACAGTTGTGTTCATAAGTATTTAATACAGTTGTGTTCATAAGAGATTTAATACAGTTGTGTTCATGAAGGATTTAATACAGTTGTGTTCATAAGGATTTAATACAGTTGTGTTCAAAAGGGATTTAATACAGTTGTGTTCATAAGAGATATAATGCAGTTGAGTTCAAAAGGATTTAATACAGTTGTGTTCATGAAGGATTTAATACAATTATGTTCATAAGGGATTTAATACAGTTGTGTTCATGAAGGATTTAATACAGTTGTGTTCATAAGGATTTAATACAGTTGTGTTCATAAGGATTTAATACAGTTGTGTTCATAAGGATTTAATACAGTTGTGTTCATGAAGGATTTAATACAGTTGTGTTCATAAGGGATTTAATACAGTTGTGTTCATAAGGATTTAATACAGTTGTGTTCATAAGGGATTTAATACAGTTGTGTTCATAAGGATTTAATACAGTTGTGTTCATGAAGGATTTAATACAGTTGTGTTCATAAGAGATATAATGCAGGTGAGTTCAAAAGGATTTAATACAGTTGTGTTCATAAGTATTTAATACAGTTGTGTTCATAAGAGATTTAATACAGTTGTGTTCATGAAGGATTTAATACAGTTGTGTTCATAAGGATTTAATACAGTTGTGTTCATAAGGGATGTAATACAGTTGTGTTCATAAGAGATTTCAAGATCACTGCAACGAGATTCGATATGTATTATTTTAATATCTATTGGATAATTGGGAAATTGGAAAGTATCAAGGTGAGAAAAATTAAATCGAATTGGTGGCGATAAAAATGTATAGCCATCGTGGCATTATCATAGTTAGGTCTAATTTCAGTGTGTGGTGTATGGACTGCAAGATATATATATATATATATATATATATATATATATATATATACTAAATTGGTTCGAACGAATGTAAAATATGCTGTGACCATTATTTAATGGTTGATGAAAAGTAAGTTTTGCAACAATTTGAACATTTGTCACTCTTCTGTGAATATGGTTTTACTAGAAAATATCCACGCACAGATATTTAGCAGAGCCGGTGACCTCCAGGGTCTGTATGAGAGAAGTACTAGGTTCGTTTCCCAATTAAACTGAGAATGTTACACAATGCGGAATGTAACCACATTCCCCATTTGCCTTCACATTTGCCAGGTTGCTCAGAATAGTTTGAAGGACTTAGCTCTCTTGGGTGGTACATATATCTTGTAGAAAATGCAACTGTCAGCGAACAGTAAAGACACGAATGAGATCCAGTCAGCCAGATCATAGATGAATACGAGAAAGCGATGGGGACCAGTGGCTGTTCCCTGTGAAACTCCACTGATGTGCTTGAACATTTTCTATGTTTATTGATATATAATTGGATATTCTTTCAGTGTCATATGTTGTAAATATCCATCATATATTTTGGGTTGCAAATGATCTAGTAAAATATATTAATTGGGCGTTGATTGCAAACCGAAATTGCACTCTGTGTGTGTGTGATTATGATTTTTAACGTAGCTTTTTTAAAAAAATTCAGTTATATCGCTATGATGTCTGCAGTGTGGCAGTTTATAGTGATGTCTAGCACTGGGGCATCATGCCGCAGACATGAAGCATGATGTCCCACCCTGTCACATTATCCTGACACCAGGCCAACCAGTCCTAACACTAAACTCTTAATGCTGAGCGTCAAGCAAGGCAGCTGTTTGTATCATTTTTGTAAGTCGTTGGTATGGCTCGACCGGAAATCGAACCCACGACCTCCCGCATCCGAGGCGGACGCTCTAACCATTAAGCTACCGTAGCGGTCGAAATTACTCTACAAGCAAACTATCGGGTTAACGTCTCTTACGTATCAGCTTGTCAAGACCACATATTTTTTCAAGTTTAAATGCAAATATTACAAAGCATAAAGAGAAATTGTAATAGGAAAACAAACTTTTAATAAAATTCTTGGTTTAAGAATATTTCTTCCAGTACATTGGACTGCACCAAGGTTATACCCAACCTCAATAGTGTTTACGGCGAAAATTCGCGATAGAGCTTTGCTGATGGAAAAGTGCTTTTTTCTATACAGACAACAATTAGTAGGAGTTAAGATACTATTTAATACACTAAATGCAGACAAATTTGGAAAATGTCCTTTTCTTAATCTGTTTATAAATCTATGGAACATTTTTCTTATTGCTGTAGCTAACTTTTTTATACCTTATTTGTTACCAGTATAACGCGAAAGGGACAGAATGATAAAAATTCACGCAAATTGATCAGAAAAATAATAAAATAAAAACAAATGTTTTCATTAGATTTCAGAAAATGATTCACTTGTGAAGTGATTACTCCAGTTTCCCCATTAGTAGCGAAATATTTTCTGATATTTTCTCCAAACACGCAGATATCTACTGTTGGGACATCAGTTTGTGAAGGCGACAACCTTGCGACGTACACGTCTTGTAAAATGTTAAGTTTATGAATAAAAGCTCAACAAATAGGACAAAACTTGACAATTAACATTCCTGTGTCGCAATTTCTTTTTCCTATTTTAACATACTGGGTCTAAAATCATGCAACAGAAAGAAAATGAAACAAAGTTAAGTAAATTCAACAAGAAATTATTCTCTACAATTCAAAGCGACAATTCAAGATACACTTACATCATTGTGATTTAAATCCCCCCTTCCTAAAAAAATACATTCAAAATTAAAATTAGTCCAAAAGGTCATCTGTCTACCCCAGTGAAACCGTAAAATAGTCAAAAGAAGTGAAACGTGGGCCATCTGTATACGCCAGCAAACTATACGACTGTCCAAATCAGTGAGAAATGAGTCGTTTATATACCTCATCGAAACCGTTAGATGTTCAAAATCATTGAAAAATGGACCATCCGTCTACTTCAGTAAAACCGTATGATAATCTAAATCAGTAATAAATGGGTATTATGTTTTCCCCAGTAAAACCATAGAATAGTCAAAATCAGGGAAAATCAGGGAAAACCCCCAGTAAAACCAATAGGATAGTCAAAATCAATGAAAATGTGAATTCTGCATACTTCAGGAAGACCGTGAGATAGTCAAAATCTGAAATGTGCAGTCTAATTGCTAACATTACTGTAATAATATAATATGAAACACTGATTTATAACTTCCTGATTCGTAATCCATCACCGTATAATAAATTCTCTTGCATCGTATTACATTAAACATATCTCTTAAATAGAATTGTAACATGATTTTGTTTTATAAAAACAGCAAAACGTTTTGTATGAACATCTCAGATAAAGTGCAACATGGATATATTGCCATCGACAGAGCTGTACAGAGGCCTATTTCACGTTATGTTCTTCATTCATTACAAACTATCTGTAGATAATAAGAATTAGGTGAAGGCAAATACAACTTATACACGATAAGCAACAGGTGAGAAAGCCGTAGGACCAGCAGATGGAAAGAAACAGGTGAGAAATCTGCAGGACTAACCGTTTAATTTATCAAACATTCTACTATCCCCCACCTCAAAACTGCTGGATATCAAAATAAGGACAACAAATGAAAGCACATGTTTGTCGTTAATCAATATTAACATATGCAAAAGAGGTAATGAATGAATCAAAGTGTTAAAAGAAAATGTTATTCTGTAACTAATTCTTTAATGACATTTATGCAACTTTAACACAAAATGATATTGCATAAAATGCACAGTCATTACTCACGTAGAATTGTTATACGTGGCTTCAACTCTTTGCTTGGTTACGTTTTAACGTTTGATTTAATTTGAAACCTTACCTTATATTCTAATTAAATTTATCGTGACAAATGTATATTTCAGCCATAAAACTCAGCTGAAACTGCCGGAGTGTACGTAAGTGTGACAAGTGCATATTTTAGCCATAAAACTCTGCTGAAACTGCCGAGCATGCACAAAAGCTACTGACTTGGACAAGAAAGGCATGCATAATATAAAGTGACATATGGGTTCCTATTACTTTTTGGAGTAGGTGGGCAAGAAAAAAAATCAGAGAAGTACGAATATTGACCTCTGGAAAAATAAATCAATAAACATAATTAACTCATAATTTTAGGTTGGTGAAAGAACTAACCTGAGACACCTGTAAGATGCATGCGCAATACATAATCCCTATGACTCCTGAGGATAGGTCATTCCAGCAGGATATTTTTTCAATATAATCACCAACAAAAAATTTGCTTTGTTTATGGAAAACATTTAAAAATCACATGTAATTTTTTTGTTCTGAAATATCTACGAAAGGTATCACACCGACTCCATTTTCAGATGTTTTTACTTTTCGTTACAATTGATCTTCAATACTTAACATTCCACCAACTACAACTAAGCGGAGCTAAAAGGAAGAATGGATGGCCTACATCTAGCTGATTGGGAATTATTCAGGCCCATAAAAGTACTCCAAGTACGCAAAATTCCAACATTGTACCGTATTCCAAATTAAAAACTCTACAACATTTGGTTAACTGATTAGGTGGCTTACACAAAATTGGAATAGGGATACCCGTAGGCATAACTGATCAGATTTGACTAACATCTACCTGGCTGAGATAAAGTTAGGTGAACATGGTCTTTGGTTGTTTGGTGGGGCGGGAGCGCGTTGCGGTGTCTGCCATTTTGAGTCCGAGTAGACCCTGGGTTATGATGGCACAATACCCATATCCCTGCAAGGAGTAAGGCCCAGCTCGGAGAGTAGCGCCTTCTTAAAGGGACCGCCGCCCAGCCTGGGGCCGCAATAAGTCGCATATTCCGCTTGTGGAAATGCGCGACAATAATCCTAACCAGTGAGCAAGTCTAAAAGTCACAAATGGCAAAACGCAATCATGATAATCAAAACATTATTCCGCCAAGGACAACGGCAACAACGACCACAGCAACAACAATAAGCCCTTCGGCACCACCGACTACCAAACTTGCACCAACTACACCAACTCAAACAGGACTAAACGACAATAGAAGGAAATCACATATAAAGACCCGCCCTATTACATGCATCACCAAGAAGAACCATCATCGCCAACCACCAGCTTAAAACTCAACCAGTCTACCAAATCTGCCGGCAACACCACAACCTTCAAATCAGGACAAAAACCAATCAGACGGTTACCTCACAACACTACTCCAAGCAACAGACAACAGCTACACAAGTCAACAACAACTGCAATAAACCGGATAACATCACCACAGCACTCATAACCAAACACAACCCTCAAATCAGGGCAACAACCCCAAACCAGGCGGTTACCTCACAACACTACCCCAAGCAACGCACAGCAGCTACACACGACAGTAAGAATAACAATAAGTCGGATAACATCACCACAGTACTAATAACCAAATACCTAAAGGACATCAGAAAAAAAATAGAAAATAAAACACAACACAAAAAGTCAACAGAAAAGATGTATACAAGTCGCTATACCTTATGATGGATAAGGTCACATCCATCACCTATTAATATTGTTGTGCAAGCAATCACATAACCCATACACACCAACTGTACACTTATGGAAGACAACCGAAACAAAGCAAGCAATACAAATCGTCACAATAACACAAAACAACTCGCTATCTGGCAGTGGAATTGTAGACCAGGGAGAATTACAATCAGCAATCACCAGGGCAACCAACAAACCCGACATAATCTGTCCACAATAGACTCACTTATCAAGCAAGATCACACTACCAAAACTAAAAGACTACAACCTTAACTTCTAACGGGAAAAAATGAGGGCTGGCTATATATGTAAACAACACAATCGCCTATACTGCAGAAACCAATACTACCACGAGCTTCTCGGAAAACAACATTGAGCATAATTTTATCATAATATTGGGAACCAAAACAATAAACGATTTACAACATCTACGACACAGTTCATACCAACTCCAGCACAGTTCAGGACTATACCAACGAACTAGTCAATAGAACACAACGTGACATAAACCTAATAAAGCATCTGAAGGGAACCATAAGGGAAGCCGACCAAACCACACTTCTAATGTTATACAGATCGCTCTTAAGATCTAAATGGGTCTATGGATGTCAAATATAGGCATTAGCCAACGAGCCGCTTCTCCGAAAACTAGATGCACTACAATACAGAATACTCAGACTATGCACCGGAACTCTAACAAACATATCTTACAAGAACTACAGGTCCTAACAGGAGAACTACCATTACAACTAAGACGGGAAGAACATATCCTGCGACTGTCAATAAGGAAATCTACACTTGAGGAAATTAGCCCAACAAAATAAATAATTCAACAATGCAGACAACCATTTAGCCACAACCAAGGCCCGATACCCTCCGCGGCCATCAGAGTTCACACACTCTATGAAGAAATAGAACTGCAGGACTTTCAAGCGGAACAGCATGTAATTAAAGATCCCACAACGTGGGGTAATAACGCCCCAAAAATCAACCTAACTGCACAAACATTTGGAAACAAAGCACAAAAGCCATGGAAAATACTAATGGAAGTCCAAAAACTACTCCGGAAAATTATGTAGATTATACCAAAATATATACAGATGGATCCAAAACCAAGGAATTTAATAAAACAGTAGCAGAAATGTGATACCCGAACAATAAACTCAAACAGGTGCAAGACTCCCAGACGACTGTTCCATCTACTCAGCTGAATTCTAGGCAATCAACTAGTAATTGAAGGGGATTCAAACCCAGACCCACCTCAGACATGAAATCATTTCAGACTCACTAAACATCCTGAACTCTATTAAAACAGGATCCACCTAAAGCAGAGAAAATACACTAGAA